AGTCGACTCAACAAAAGTCATCTAAACATTTCGATACCTACTATGGAAGATAGCATGAGGACTTGGGGTAAGTCAGAGTCACAGTTAATGTTGTATGTGATTTCGGGCAAATTGTAAATCCCTGAAGATCCACGCAGTAAGTCAGGACGATTCTACTCCTTTCTACCATTTCCAATAAGAAACAGGGGCACTCCGTATAGATCACGGCAAATTTTAAGTACACTCCAAAAATAACGCTGCTAATCAGCCAAAATGGGTAAACATAGGGAGAGAAACCGACAACCAGCAACCAATCTGCGCTTCCTTGAGGAAGTCATGTTCACAATTCCGAACAGCGTGCAAGCATAGCGGCGTCGAATGGACTGCAAACAAGTGAACGTAGCTGGATACTACCATAGAAGATATTGGTGAAGTTCGTTCCACACCAAGCAAATCAATCATATCCAAATGCTGGCCAAGCAGAGGATCGCAGAAAGCAGCGTTCACTCTATTTTCTGTGTTGATGATGCTAACTGCATCGTCGCCTCCTTACTGTGGCGTCACTCGTAAAGGATAGGTATATGCCAAGACCATCGTAATATGCCGCGCTAATGGGCATAGCGAACGATGCCGCGCTCGACAGACGAGTTGCCCATGGTCGTCTAAAAATGAGTGTTAAAAGGGTGAACAGACTCGATATTGCCCGTCACGGAGTCTGCCTCCGCTCAAATTCATACGAGTTCCGCTGCTCCAATCGATAAAATGGTGCACATTGAGAAGTCGCCACACTGTATGCCATGCGTGATGGCGCTACAAACCACGATTGTCCTCTCCGTCTCCATTGAAAGGTAATGACTCGAAGATACTCTCCAAAGATCGGTATCGTATGTCCTGCTTGCAGCTTTTTCGGGGAGGCTCAGTGAGTGTTACTGACAAGAAGAATTCCATGTACCGATTGGAAATCGAAAGTTTTAGAACTTTCAAAAATCAGATACAGAACTTTTCCACTAACATAATAAATTGAGCTGAGACTCAGTGTCTCCCTGTGGAGTATTACCAATAACCACGAATGGGAAAATTTCGTAATCAGATGGTCCAGTGAAACATCATCCAAAGGCAGCATCATTCTCAAAAAGCAGTATGCCGGGACAATCCTCGTAATCCCTCCGTGCATTTGGTAGCCTGGTTCGCACTGCTGAAAGTGTACCACTTTCGTCACACGAAAGTACAAGATAAAGCCTCCAGGAATGCGTGATCTTTTACGACATTAAAGTTTTTGGGCTGCTAGACAACCATTTACACTGTCAATGTTGCCTGCAGCGTCATAGAACGCTCCCATGCTCGTTGCAGAGAAAGCCAATGCAACTTTTTCGAATTCGCGAGTTACTCCGCTTTCCTTGGATACCTTCTTCGAAGGGAGGCAAGCAGAAGCAGCCCACATCGAAAGGGAGAATGCGATCCACGCTGCTTAATTCACCAGCGATGCAAATGCAATGGTATGAAAGGTACATAGTTGAGCATTATTATTGTTAGCCTAATTTTATACACAGAATTCTCGCTAGCTATTTCCTACTGCAAGTTTTGTTCCTATTTTTTTGTTTTCTTTCCTAGTCTTAGATCGCATTTAGTACGACATGATTGTAAGAAACAATTTGTGATTGTACTGAGGCAGAAAGAAGTCGATTCGCCAGCAAGTCTGCAGAACTCGTGCAATGAGGTGATAATTTCCGATTTTGACTGCACTTGCTACACTGGCTATTCAGGCCTCTCACGCTCACTTCGAGGAGAAATAATTTAGAGGGAAGTGACAGGCGGAGCTGTGAATATTCTGATTTTCAGGACAGCTCAAGCTCTTTCCAGCAAAGTCCATCTTCGATTTTGATTAAAAACACCCTTGGGCTATAGATCCTTCCAACGTGACGAAAGAAGTTCGCGATCGAAGTTGCGCTCAGGGATCGCGAACTATGTTACACAGAACGGCAACTGGTGATCCCTTTTCGTACTTACCTGAGCCCAGTTCACCACTTCGACGGCGACGGCGTTCAAAAAGCTCGACCGAAACTACCATCTTTGTCAATTCCACGGGAGATAATCATCTATTTTCTGGGTTATGAGACCGTGTACAGCCTCGTCGCTGCGGTTGAGGGGTCCGGCGAGATCTGTTTAGCGCAGTGCCAAGCCCCATTTCACTAGCTGTTAAAGCGAGCAACGACTAGACTGTATCATAGCGTTCGTATCAGTCGTTTTCCAGCAACTGTTGCCGCTTCAAGAACTAGTGCAGAATGGCGTCGCATCAAAACCATGCAGCCTGACACTCCCATTCATCCGCAGCGAACAAGACTGTGTAGGGCGCACCCTCGACTCGAGCCAGTATTGGAAAATCAATAAAAAGATTTACGGTGCAAAAAAAACGCAAAATGCTGCTGCTATGTCCAGCAATTTTCGCGCGCATTGTCGCGTGCGTTAAAGTGCAAATAAGTGCGACTTATAGCCCAGAAATACGGTGATTGCAAAGTGCTCGCTTGCACCATTATGACACAACCTTTACGTCACTGTTTTTTACAGAAAGCGATCGTGATAAGTGATAGCCATGGTGAGGGAGCCATCTCCAGAAAAAACGCACATATTTTCTTGTTCGCAATGGATGCGGCGACAGGCGGGATAGGTTTTCCGCGGCGCCAGCGCGTTTCCTACTAACTGTGACCGCTCAGCAACCACCAGAGAATGCATTGGCGCTGCGCCAATGCCAACCAAGCTGAAACGCCCCAGAATCCGTAGCGAACAAGAGTGCAGTACTGCACAGCGGACATAAAAGATGTTATATCATATCTTGTATGTTATTATTTCGAGACCTTGAACTCTTCATATCAGTCAGTATACATCTTAGTTGCGCAGACCATGTCAAGGAGGAAAGAGAAATTGCCATTCGCCTGGCGAGATTTCGTTTTTGGTGGTTGGTTTTCCCCGTTCTCAATCTTTCCCTCCGTTTAGATGGATGCTGAAGGTTGTCATAGTGTCATTCGCTCTCTTTTGATTCTTTGGGACAAAAAATCCCTCTAGTTCTTAACAGTCAGTCAAAAACTTGAAGCTTAAAGGCAGTTGGCACGATAAATCGCTATACAGATGTAGGATTTATACGACTGGCTTAACAGAATTCCGTGACCTCGGACAGGCGCTCCGTGGCGCCTTTTCCAAGGAGGGTACCCCTATAACGCCCTATCGAGCAACAACATTCCGTCCCAAACGCCTTCCTCGCCCGCCCGCCCACAAACGGACGACCGTTCCTGACGCTCGTATTCATTCATTTGCTGAGCAAATTATGAAGCAAAGGGATTGGTATGAAGCGGCCGTGATGCTGCATGCATATATGGGTACACATATGCAGCCGTATCTTCGGTAGCGGTGATTGGCAAGATGCGTACGGGAAACTCGTCCGAAATCGATTTTCAAGTCACTGAGAACGGAGGCTTTTTCTTCGCCGGATTTTGACCGTTTCACTCCGTTCTTTCGCCATTTCCCCACTACATAGCGCCCTACTAGCATTTTAGGCCGAGTGGGAAACCATCGTGCCAACTGCCTTTAAAGGCAGTTGGCACGATAAATCCCCAAAGACGAGTAGGATTTATATGCCTGGCAAGGCGGATTTCCGCGACTCTGAGCAGACATGCGTAGCGGTTTTTCCCTTATAAGAGCCCTATCAAGCTAAACTTTTGGACCCAACTTAACCTGGGCTACCACGCCCGCCCGCCCACAAATGGACGACCCTTATGCTCGTTTTGCTTCATTTGCTAAGTAAAATATGAAGCGAAGGGATTGGTATGAAGCGGCTGCGGTGCTGAATGGATATATGAGTACATACATGCAGCCGCACCTACCGGAGCGGTTATTTGCAATACGCCTACGGGAAACTCGTCCGAAATCGCTTTTCAAGAACGAAGGCTTTTCTTCGCAGTTTTGGACCGTTTCACTTCGTTTTTTCGCCATTTTCCCCACTAAATAGCGCCCTGCTAGCATTTTAGGCTGAGTACCAAATTATCGTGCCAACTGCCTTTAATGAGGCAACAAAGGAATGAGCCCACCTGTGTCTTCTTGCTTCTTTTCTACATTTTCCTCCTTCTTCGAATCGCCGCCAGAGTCTTTCGAGGCCTTTTTCTCCTTCCTCGATGCCCTTTTCTTCTCAACTTTTCTTTTCTGAGACCCATAGTTGAGCATTTCAGAACACTGCCGACATAACCGGACTTTGACAAGTGCATTTTTCCTTTCTCCACCTTCTGTGTATGCAAAATTGACCTGGAACAACAACCAAGCTCACGGGATTCTACTTTCAAACAAACTTTCTGGTACTGACCTCCCAACTTGACAAATCACTGTCAACCTGGCACTTTCTTGCACCACATATGAACTGTCCTTTCCCGGAGCGAACTTCCGCTTCCGTCCTCCACCTCATCGCTATCTTATTCTTCTTGAAGTACGTGAGATCAGCAATGCAGTACTCTAAATATTACAAATGAACAAAAAGACAGAAAAAGGAAATAGTGGAAAACCTCCAATAAAGTGGTTTTCCCATGGAGAAATTCTTCTGGAAGCGAACTCACTAGCCTTTAAACAGTTTGTCGTAATATTTTTTAGCCATTCGAGCTTCCCAACTCGTAGCTACGGCTTCCTCATCTTTCTCGTTCCACAAAAACTTATGATTGTCCTAAAGGAGAAGCGGAAATCAACTTTTAAATAAGAAAATATAAGAAAAATCAAACCTTCAGAACATCATAGTCAGTCCGATCCTTACTAGTGTCTCTCTCAAGCATTTTTGTAGCTCCCGGATGCGACAGATAGTATAAGTTGATTAACTCTTTATGACGCGAGTAAGCGTCCATCGCCATCATACGAGACATCTGTCTGAAATTCTGTGCTGAAACGATTTCCTAAACAATTCGACAAATTTCTCACTGACCTGTGCACACGACCATGCTCGTCCTGAAACCACGCGCGCGCTTCATTTCGACCCGGCTTCTTCTCCTGTAAAATTTCTGTCGTTAAATTTTGTTCAGGAAAAATTTGTCCTCTGAGCTGAGTTTTCCTTGTGGTAATGGTAACGAGGTGTCAGGGGTGCAAACATGTGTGGAGCGCTATGCCGTCGGCCAGATTCAGAGTGCGTTCATACCTCGCTTCAGCGTTTTGGGCGTGCGGCAGCGTTTTCAGCGACTAGGGTATCGATCATGCATTTTGAGCGTACGTCAGCGTTTTCAGCGACTGCTCGCGAAAACGTTAGCACGGTGGAGTACGCTCAAATGGCTGGAACAATATCAATGCTTTCTTAGAAGCCTTAGGGGAGTTTCATAAGCTTTTGCAAGCGAGAAAAAGGTCGCAACGATAGCCGAAACGTCAGATCAGAAAAAAGGCGACTCTTCTCACATGCATCTCTTTGGTATACAGTGCTAGGCGTGTCATATACTGATTCGCTAGCTATGTAAACCAAGACTATTATTTCAGCCGCCACTAGGGACGATCAAAAAAGGAGTCATCCGCCATGACGACAACTGTAAATAGGAGAATAGCTGATTCCACTCTCCAACCGATCCCTCCTACACAAAAAGACTTTGCAAGCATGCAGCAAGAATCGGTGCTGTACGCGAATAATTCATATATCTTACAACAGCAACTTCGAAACGCACTCCATATATCCAACACAGAGGGGAGTAGTGCGTACGTCATTTCAAACATGATGTAGACTATGCTTGACGTGAAACATTCCATTTCAAACAATTGCCAAATCTGCCTATGCCGGGCAAGAACTTGACTGCAACTGTCCCAAAATGAAAATATCTCATCGCAGCTACGCCCACTCCGTCTGCGGAAAGGAACCGTGAACGAAATGTATAGTGAACGAAGTAAGAAAGTGTATGCACAGGTGAAAACTGCGCCATTATGTGGCCAGAGAAGCTTCACTTAACAAGCTATGGCGATGAACTGAGGATTGCCGCGTTTGCAAACATCCCCTTGGGTAATCGGGGAACCAGAGTTCAAGATGTGATTTGTGCGGCTCATACACTGTTAGCAAGATGGTCTTAACACAAGAATGAAGAAAAAAGAAAAAAACCGCCCGAAAAGTTCTATAAAACCCTATGCCGCACCGCGGTTGTATTAGCATAGTTCGAAAGAAGGGCGTGATCGGACGAGTTCCCATTTGTTACTGGCGGCTCTTTCGCCTATCACCTCACTCTCGCCATTCAGGAAGGAGGTAGGTAGTAGCGGAACAACTGTACACCAGGGAACAGTTAAAAAATGAAAGTTGGGCGTCGTCCTGGTCCGTGGGCGTGAGCGAGCGACGCTTTCCTCACGTATTTTAGAGGTGCGAACGAAAAAAATCCTCCGTGCTTGCAGGCAGGAAGGTGTCCAGTGAAAAAGTATGTGCAATGAGTGAACGCAGAACGTGCTTTTAGTCTTTCTAGGATCCTACGGTTCCCCTGCAGGGCAGTTCGCCGATTTTCCCACAAACGCGAGTGTTAAGTGGTCCAAAGCCGCATTCGCAACTTGGGGCACTTGTAGATGAGTGGCGAATTTCGGAGTCGGGGAAGAGGGAGGAATAACTCAAGGTAAGGTAAAACAGGTTGCCCACTGAGTTTCGTTGTGCTGGACCCAGGCGTTGGTGTTGTAGATAGAGCTATTATATTCCCTAATTTTCCAACGTCTTAGCCGGTATGTCCCTTTCGAATGAGAGTGGCAACAACCAACATTCTGGAAGGTTGACTGAATGGAGGAGGAACACAGGAACACCAAGACCTGCCCTGCAGATGCCATTAGAAGTCACCATGGTACTTAAATGTGCATTCGGCTGTATAATGAGCTGGTAAGGGTTAAGCACTTAGAAGGGAGGCTAATGTTTTTGCTCGGCTTCCGCTTAAGGGCACATGCGGAACGGAAGTTATGCTACCTCTTTGCTTTCACCCCCTTCTCAATAATTCCGATTTGTTCGATTTCTTCAGATGAGCCGATGGTTTTTTTATTCACGCACAATTCGATTCCATAACCAACTAGGGGTATCGACTGGGAGCGTCAGTTCTATAGCCTTTTATCCTTCCAGGTAAGACTGGTGTTAACGGGCGAGATAAGAGCGCCACTTGCCCCTAGCGCACATCCGCTTCAATTAGGTTCGTACTCAGGTGACAAGAATGCACCCCACCAGCTCCTGCATCAACATAAACAGATGCGCCGGCAATCTCACTGGTTTCATCTTGTGAAGGACACTTACAACAGATTGCAGACTCCTGGCCGCCCAGCGGCCGCGGTGACGCCCAACATTCATTTCTAGCTGCTACCGATGGTAAGCGGGTTCCAGTACTAACTCTCTCCTTCTGAATGGTGAATTGGGGTGCTAGAGAAAGAGCTGACAGCAACAAAATAGAACTCGTCCGACCACGCCCTCTCTTTGCATTATGCAAGCACAAGCGCGGTTCATGGAGTTTCTTTTTGGTGTTATTTACACCCTGTTATTGGTATCTGAGCCACACAAGTCAACATTTTTGAACGCAAGGCATGCCTATAAAAGAAACGTCAGAGTTACGATAGTATCGATCGCCGGACGGGACTTTCTATGCTAACCATAAGTCAGGCATTACCAGGAAAGATTAAAAGTGGTAATTTACAAAAATTGAGTCGACATGATATGGAACGGCAGATGAAAAATAACAAATATTAATAGCATAAGCTTGCATTCACCATATAAACTAACCAGACTACTGAAGCTTTTGTCGTCGAGATCAGAGCGTTTCCGTTTCTGGCGCTCTACTTCACTTTGGTAATCGAACTCAGACTGAAGATCATCCACAGAGATATCTGGATTTCGTTTAACTGTATCCATCTAAAACAATTGGTAGTTGAAGCTATCAGCAGGACTACATCATCGTCCACATCATAACTTTATACCGTTTATACCTTGCGTCGAATTGGAGAATCAAAATACCTGCGAATAGAATTTGATCAACATCAGTCAACATAGAATCGTGCAATCGGAATCATCGAGGACAGGACAAATTACCCGATGCATGAACCCTACCGGGGTCCTCTTTGTTCGGTCGGAAGGGGAAATCTTGCCATGGAAAATCTTTCGTAATTCTTGATTCTGCCCGTTTCACGCGAGCTGCATGCACCCACTCCTTTTTAAAGGCAATTCCCGCGATAAGTGTTACCGATAGTAGGCGCTCAACCATGAACCAGTGGCACAAGTAACTCTTCAGTAAAGAAACAAGCGAAAAACCCTTAGAACACCCTGAACAGAGATCCCCCTCGGCCAATGGGGCAGGGTCTTGAACGAGTTCCTCATGAGGACAAGCCCAATAAGCAGGATTATACGTGCAACCAATTCTCGGTGACAGCATATGAAATTGCCTTACGACGCTCCAGGCAACGCTATGTGCATACGAAATTCGCTTGTAAGCCGTTGTCTTGCAGAGTGAAAGTAATCGTGGTTGCAATAGCAGCAATAATTACGCGGCTCTAGCTCTTTGTCACACCGTTTCGAGTGACGAAAGTGGTACACCTTTGCGAATACGGTGCCCAATGTCCGAGAGCATTTCGGGCTTTTTGATCGCGGGAACTGCCTTTAAATTGACGCAACGCAAAACTGCAATCTCTGATAATTGATCGAAGGTATTTTCTCCCGCTCCCTACGCTTCCGAGTTCGAAGGCAAATTTTTGGGAAAAGTTGGTGAAATGGAAAGTAGGCCTCCAGTCGTGGTGGGAGAGCATATTTTCATAAAACTTTCCAGCACGTGATGTTGTGCAAAGTGATGTTGAAGCAGCGCAACACGGCGGTATCCATATGTGGATGGAACACGTTGATGCAGAGCGTCAAGGGGCTTCAGAACCGTTTTGAACATTGCTTCATTGGCCTGCATGGAAAGCTTTCCGCACAAGCCGTGAAAGAAGCTTCGTGGTAGGCGAGGCGTTTCGAAGCTCCACCAAAGCCTTTAGCAATCGCTCATTTTTCTCGTGTATCTGATCCCTTTCATCGACTTTGCACGGGAGTAGAGTCAAATTAAGCTCCTCTTTCCTACAGTTCTCAACAAACCCATTGGTATGAAGGCAGCTTAAAGGCAAGGCAGCCCCACGTTCAAAAAAGGTCGCTTGCGGTACCAATACTCAGGTACCAACGACAAGATCATAAACAACACTAAGTAAGAGAAAAGCAGGGAAGTCAGCTAAAATGGCTTATATTGAACCCCCAAACTGCGTTCGTACTTGCGGAGGGGAAGAAATGGCGTGATCAGGCGGGTTCTCACTTATCGGGATAAGCTCTTTCTCCTAATCACTACTTTCTCGCCTTCGAATAGACGGCTGATAGTGGAATAACCACACTTTCGGAAAAGTTTAGAAATGAAAGTTAGGCGTTGTCCTGCTCGGTGGGCGGAACCGTGGTCAGTCACAAGTGGGTTGCGCTTCCTCCATTTGTGCGTTGCGGAAGTATAGTGTAGTTCATTGCGGACGGTTGGGCGTGTTCGTGCGGCTGCGTTTGGCGCGGTGCCAAACTCGTTCTCCACGAGTTGTTCAAGCGAGCAAATGACAATACTGTATCATACCTTTCGTATTACTTGTTTTCTACTGCTTTTTGTCGCATGCCCGTTTCAACAAGAAGGCAGAGAACAGCTCAAAGAGGGTGACACACTCATACTGGCTGACACGCCCAACCGTCCGCAGCGAAGTAGAGTGTAGCACATCCCACGCACTTGCAGACAGGATTACATACCCAACGACGACGTCTGCGCCTCAAATGAACACAGGGCGTGCCTTCAGTCCCGGTTTCCGCGTTCACAATAAAAGTTCGCAGTGGTTCAAAGGCTCCGACAACCAAAAATGGTGAGTTTTGGGGCTCGAATACTAATCACAAGGTGGTAATTGACTCCAAAAAAAACAGAAAAAAATCTGAAATACCCAAAACAGGACCGCCCGCCGATCTGCATAGGCTTTATGAGCAAACCGCCAAGTAAGGGCAGGTGAACGATATCAACAATTTTCCCTCATGACCTTCCCTTCACAATGGAAAAAGGGTGCTAACGTATTTGGGGGGGGGGACCACGCGGCGAGCGGCGAGTGATGACTCATCAGCTCTTCACTCGGCATACTTGAAGCGCGAATCTAGCAGCCAAATTAGAATGAAACAAACAAGATTCACCGGGAACTTGCTGGGAAATCCCACAGAAGCTGAAAACAACAAATATTTGATCTTTTATAGTCAAGAATCAACAAAAAGGCAACAATCGTTTGTATTTTAGGCAAAATCTTCCAGCCTACAACTGTTTCTTCGCACTTTTCAGCCTTAACTGTTTTAGCTTTTGAATATAGCTAGGACGGTGTTATATCCATGTCCTAAACATGAAATTACTTCTTTTTTGCCGAGGAGGGAGCAGAAGAGCGGATGAGTCATCGCTCGCCGCGTGGTCCCCCCCCCAAATACGTTAGCACCGGAAAAAGTAAGTGGCGGAACAAACGCACCAAGATGATACGACCCTCCCTCCCCATTAATCCATCCTACCATCCTAGTTCCTCAGTTTACCCAGTTTTTCCCCATTTTGCTGGAGTTTTTTTTTCAAAAAACTTGGCGCACTCGAAACAGAGAGTACCTCGAAAGGTCAACAGCCAAAAACATTTTTCTCAAAGGCATATATAGCTTCCCCCGTAGACCCATAACGTCCCCAGCGAGGAGGTCGTATTTGCAATTACCACATCCTGACGGCTCTGCATAGATGCCCCGGTGTGTTGGGGGTAGCGCCAGAGAGAGTACAGAGCTCTATACGAAAGCTTCGACTCGAAGTAGCAGAAGTGCAAAGTGAGGTGCCCCCACCACGCGCCGAACTGCTCGCAATCCCAATAATCGTAGGTGTGAAACGTGGGTGGGAGTGTCACGTCTGTGGCAAAATGCCAAACGTCTGCCTCCCCAGATTAGTGCTGCGGTTATTGATCGCTCATCTTCCAATCATCCACACCGTCGCAGAACAAGTTGAAACAAAGGTATGCATGAAAAAACATGTCCAAACCAGTCAAGTCTTAAAGGTTATTGAAAGGCCAATTTTAAAGGTGCGACTCTCTCAGCGAGCACGGCGCGCTCCACGGTCAATTCTTTTGCGTCGCAGGTGGTCAGTCAGCGCTACGTGTCCCACTCCCTCCCACGTTCTGCTGAATTCGCACACTTGCTCGTTACGATATAGTACGTTGTGTGAAGAAGTCTGGGATAACTACTAAATGTTTCCATGTTGTCTTTGTGTCCATGTTTTGCACTTTTCGTCCTGCGCTTAAACATACCGACTGACTTCGATCAAAGGAAGTGGGCATTTCTTGTTATAAACCCAAACAGAATTTAGATCATGTTTCTGCGCCCACGAACACGCAGTGGTCGATCGATACTATCGTATCAATGGCTGGGTTTCTGGGATGTGTAGCGTTCATTGAAATTTCATAGTTATTCATAAGTTCACACGACAAACAGTAGGAACGCAATTTCGTCAGGTATTTATCCGGAACTGGTGGGAATTCTTTTTCTTGCTAATGGAAGAGGAAACCCCTAATGTTCTTTTTATGCGACGTCCCTTTCTCGTTCATTGTTTTATTTTGCTTGTGGTTTTCTGACAATTGTGTGCCCGTTAATGGATGTAGCAAATTCGTGAGAGTTTATGGCCGGCAATAGCCCGAGCTGGGTGGTGACCTTGAGCGCTCGGGTGATCGTATCAACCATCGAATGTTGACCAGACACCGATCCGCGTCGTCTTAAACCACCCGGGCCAGTGGGCGCCCTAATATTTCCATCTGAGCTTTCCTTTTTCTCTTCGTTGCCTCTGGACTCAAAGGCTGGTGGCCTATAAATCTCCGAGACGTAGGATTGACACGCCTAGCAGGATGGAATTTTGCGCCTCTGAGCAGGCGCTGTGTGGCGCCTTTCCCACGGAAGGTACCCCTGAAGCACCCTGTCAAGCTGTAACATACCAGCCCAGATGCCCGTCCGCCCCCAGATGTTTGACCGATGCTGGTGCTTCATTTGCGAAGTACAACATGAAGCGAAGGGTTTTATATGAAGCGGCTACGGTTTTCATGGGTACATACAAGTAGCCTTACCTAGGTAGCGGTCACTAGCACGATGCACGGGAAACTCGTCCGAAATTGCTGTCTGAGTCGTGTAGAACAAAGGGTTTTGCAGGTTTTTAACCTTTTCATTTCGCTTTTCGTCCTTTTGGCACTGTATAGCACTCCTGGTATCATTTCAGACCGAGTACCAAGTTGTTGTGCCTCATGCCTTTAACCACCGCGTTTGCTTGGTGATCGTCGTCCATTTTTACACTGCGACGCTGAGGCGGCGCTCATTTCCTGTTAGGATATGTAGATAAGTGCTATTCCCACACCCCCTACAGCATTAGCTCCCACAGCACTAGCTTTCCAAAGCTTTTAAATTTGTAGTGTAATAATTACCACACAGATATCCCAGCAGTACCGTCCTTTTTTTCTTATCATTCTATATTTTAAATATAAATATAGGTGAATTGCTGGAATTTTCTGAACCATTTTTATTCCTATAAATCAGTAGGAGAGCAGCATGTCAACGACATTGCTTCAACTGACATCTATGATGCTTCAGAAGTGATCTTTGGTCGTTTTGTTTGCAGTATGCCACGCGTCGTTCTCTCTTCACCAGCTGCACTCTCTCGTGCTTACCCTCACCATCTCCATTTCTCCACCACCGTCCAACCGAAGCTCCTCCTGGAACACTTTGCCACCAGAATTCCTGGTGACTGGCTGGTTCTTCCATGCTACCTTCTTCTTCCCATCGAAGCACATGTTCCGCCGTAAGGTTGCTCGGTCAGGGTCATCGCTGTTGCCTCTGCGCTCCTCTCCCTCACTCATCTTTACCATCCTTTAGGTAAACAAATGACGGTGGGCGATCGCTCGATTCGACCAACCTCATTCGTCCCCATTTTCATCACTACCCTGATAAACTCGTTGTTATGAATATCGGTTCATAGATCCTTCGTATCTGAACGAAATCGGCTTCTTATTAACCATCATATTTCACGGCATTCTTCACAGCATAGCAGTTTTCTAGCAATCGATACGATCCGTTTCGTTATGCGTTTGATCGTATCGTTTCTATTGACGGTCATGCAGGCAAATCTTCTTCTTTTCAGGTCCCTTCGGCTCGATCTGACCCTCTGCTGCTTTCTGTCGTACGGAACCGGCCCGGAACAGCCCATCTATTCATTAACGAGCAATGCACAACGGACACGAGTTTGAACAGAACGGACACCCCACCAACGGAACTGCCCTTCGTGAGTATTTGATTGATACACTGATCCTTTTCAGCACAGCTGGCGCAGATCGGTAACGGAGGGTGAGGGGGAGGGGCATTTTGCACTTTTCCAACTTCACTAATTCCGGTTCACAAGTCGAGCTTTGGTGAAACCTGTCAACTACTGTAAGCTGATGAAATAGTTGTGTAGACGGCGACATGTCAGTGGGAAGTAAAAAAGTGCAAAATGCCCTTACGCCGTCGCCTCCACACCCTCTCGTTGGCGACAGATTCTGCGAAATATGACCCTCCCTCAGATTTTCCTTCTCTGATACGAGTAATCTAGGGGGTTCCTCCTCTGGCACTGTCCCCCCCCCTCATACTACGTACTATTTTCCTACGAACTTCCAGTTTCCTATCACTTTTCCAAGCTGTTTTGAATTCTGCAGTTTTCCCCCAGAAAACTGCGGAATTCAAAAACTTTCGAGAGTTATGAAGTGCGTCTGAAATGGGAAAAACCGAGGAAAATCAACAGCTGGAAACTTTTTTCACCAGGACAAGTAGTCCTCCTTTCTCCAGCGTCCAAATACGTCCCCCTTCCCGGAGATCCCCAACGTACGACGATGTTTTCACATCAAAACGGAGTAGTGATATGAAAAGCCGTTACTATCTATACGTTATGCGTGTTTTTTCGCTCAACAAAAGGGTGCTCATTCCAAAAGGCAGCCATTTCTGGCTAATTCTTGTCATCCCAGATGTAAGTTACAATAAGTACCATTCGTGCGCAATCGCATTGATTAGATGGCTTATCAGTAAAGGTCTTGGGCACCGTACACCCTTCATAAAATGATGATAATGACAGCCGACGTCATGCTTCCTGACCTGATTACCTCATGTTTCTGAAGACGCTGGCTTCTTATAGAAAGAGTGTGGAAGTGGCAAGAGAAAAGTTGCGTGACGGAGAGAATTTTTTGATGGTGACGTCCAAGTTTCCCTCAGTTCAATACCAACGCCAGTGTTAGCGCTGAATGGCGATATAACCAATCATAGGCGCTCTGTTTGTTCATTCCTTTATGTTGGATTCAACATTCATAACTTGGGAGTGGTTTCTTTACGCAGCTGTGATGAGTGAGCTACTGTGCTGTAACCCAAGCTAACCTCCGACAGTGATGGAAAAGCGCTGAGCTTGTCCCCATGTACTGGGCTGGCCCATAAGTGATGGCGTTTTTTCACTCAAAGTTTCGCTCTGATGAGAAGTTTTGCCAGTGAGTTTCATACTGTTCTACCCCATGCTTTATTGGAAAGTTCTCATGGTTTTTTGGATATTTTGTTTCCAGCAATCTTTACGTGTCAGGTCGACGAGGCTGAGCATTTTCGGCAGCTTCTCTTTCTCACATCTATTTTAAAACTAAAACAACACAGGCCAATTTATGATGTATACAGTCGAGAAGCTATGTGTCTTGAAAATGTTTGTTTAAGCCACCCGAAGATTTCATTTTCAACCTCATGGTATCGAACCTAATGCCCCATTGATTCCAACTGAGTGCTTACTGAATCACTTTATTCACCTGCGTTCTCACATAGCATCACCTTCACTTGGTGGAAGAAATTCAAAACTAGGTGGATGGGTTTTGCAGGCAGTCGATACCCTAAGAGGGCGTCCATGCTGTGCAAATTTACAAGACTCATAGCCCGTCCTCATGCTCGCCCGATCCAACTTCATCAGAGACATTGGTCCTTGGTTATACACATCACAAGTTTATAGCTGCTTCTAGAATTTGAGAGCCCACACTGAGTGCCAAAAGTTATCAAAAACTCACTTCTGTGTCGACCCAACTCTCCATTTCATTGAAATAAAAATCGACAAAAATGATGAAATCAAGTACGAAGGTAACCATGCAGTGTTGTAGAGCAGAAAGTTTCCATCGAGGGCGTAGGACATATTGAAAACAATCCTCACCTTCTTTCTTGTATTTCTTCAAGCCTTTCCAAATTGAGCAACTTTATTAAAGGCCTACGTTTCGGCGTCTTCGCCTTCGTCAGAGCCTGAAATGGTCAAAAAACATTTCGAGACCTGCTCGCTCAAACATTTCAACAATACTCAAGACGATTTCCACATACCAGTAAATCACCCAACGGTATCGATCTAGGGCGGAACGCTGGCTTACCTTGATCTTGGACGCGTGACGCGGGGACGACCACCCTGTAGAGGCTCAAGCGTGGAGTAAGAACTACTAGTAACCTCCCTCGACCTCTCAAGGTAAGCCAGCGTTCCGCCTAGATCGATACCGTTGGGTGATTTACTGGTATGTGGAAATCGTCTTGAGTATTGTTGAAATGTTTGAGCGAGCAGGTCTCGAAATGTTTTTTGACCATTTCAGGCTCTGACGAAGGCGAAGACGCCGATAGGCCTTTAATAAAGTTGCTCAATCTTGGAAAGGCTAGAAGAAATACAAGAACGATATTCATCATGCCTCGAACATGGACCAATTCTCACCTTCATATAAAAATTTGTGTATGATAAAAAAAACACTATTAGTTGTAGGTCAACCGAATAACAATTGTGAGTGAGAATTCGCGGGTGCAGTTACCTTTATTACTTGAAACCTAACCGATCTCCAGCTAGTAAAAGGCTGTAGTGAAGTCAATATCAACCACTGTAATGTTTTTTTTTCTAATTTATTGAAGGTGAGTGGGACAGTGAATAAGCGTTGGCGTAATGAAGGAGTGTGCATTTCTTCCATATGATTATTTCTGAAAGGTGTCAGTTTTTGTTGCTGTGAAGGGCAGTGGTATTGTAACATGAATGACGAAGCTTTCGGTTCTTGAACCGCGGTCGTAACATCGTAGGAATCAGAGTGGTGCAAGGACGTTCACGATTTACGTGCCTAGCTATCGCATACCAAATCAATCACTTTACAGCAGCGAAGAACAGTAGTGTAGACCGGATCGATTTCACTCGGTCATTTTTTGTGAGAGTACTCGGTTGATTAAAATGGTACTCTGTACGATCAAAGAAGATTGAAGCTCCGATAGCCCTGATTTGCAGATGGAGAAACGTCGGCAGCTTCGGCTGTCGTTCCCGATGTCGTTCAGATGGACTACTCAACGGACTTCCCGAAATTGCCTGAGGCTGCTCCAGCTGCTGCCAAAGTTCTAGGTGCATGGTCAAGACCGGCTGTAGGAACTAAGACTATCGTTCATGTAAGACTCACACACTATTGACAGCTGTGAATTAGGTCCATATATGCGAACAAATTCTTCTCTTTTAGTCTTTCATTCTGGCTGCTGACGAACGTGCCAACAAGGTGAAGACCTTCGGAGGAAACACAAGTGAAGAGCACAAGAAGTGCCAAGCGGTGGCCGCTGCCACTGGTCCGTTTAATGTTTAGCTTACTTAATCGCAGCAGGTCAAAGAAACCTACCACAGAAACAAGAAGCTGATTTTACTTTGTCTTACAGGTACTCGCATTGAGCTGAGCGAGTCGAAGGATGGCGCTTTGACCGTTGTCATTAAAGGTCTGCGCAATAAAGTGGAGGATGCACGAGCACGACTTGTTCGTGACTTGCAAACTCAAGCTAGCCGCGATTTGGATATCCCCAAGGATCACCACAGAAAACTTATAGGTACTTGTCGATAATACCAAAATAAGTGATGATATTGTATACTTGGGATACCTGAGATGTAGTAGGCGTGGTTGCGTACTTCAGCTAAATGTGGTGCTGGCTGTGCTTTCGGAGATATTATAACACTGTGATCGTGTCTCTGACCAACACAGAACAAGTATGCAGTTGTCTGAAACTGAATATCACACGAGTAACCCGTTATGTGCCGTGTTCGAATGCCACGCCTACTCCGTCTCAGGGATAAGGAGTGTACTAGTACGTCCCTAAGCCAGTCATTGTGGAGGGTTATACTCGGTGGTGTTTCAGGCAAAGAAGGTACTGCTTTGCGTCAACTGGAAGCTGACACGAACTGTCGCATCACCATCCCTAGTAGAGATACACCGTCGCAAACCATCAAAATTGTTGGACCTCGTGAAGGAATCGAAAAGGCAGTTGCTTACATCAAATCTGTCTCGGATAGAGAGGTGAGCTCTAGTTCTTTCCAATGAATGTGTTAATGCCATAGCATCTCGGCTGAACGCGCACGACTTGTCGCTCGTCCACTGCT